TGTGTCCATTTTGCCGAAATCAAACTTTCCCAAGAATTGCATAAGAGGTATATTCCATACGGACTTGAATGGCCAGTCTATCAACGTTCTTTTCATCTTCAAATCTGACAATTTGACTTTTCTTTTTCTTGTCAAGGCAGATAATATGCAATATAAAAACATTATTTTTTCCCCCACCCCACAAAAAAGGAGATAAATCTTGTCCCTGAAAGTGCCTTCTGTCCTTGCAAAGCCACTCAAAGTTTCCAACGGTCTGCCCCAAGGATTTAACAATCGAGACGCTATCTTTTCATGCTCCTTACTAATTATGGCCTTTGAAATCTATTTCTTTGTACAACACTTGAAAGGATATTACTTACACAGTTCAGTGTTTATACTGTGGAGAGGGGATAGTCACATGTTGCCGAAGTGGATTTAGGTCATGACGCAGCATGAAAGCATACAAGAATAACATTCTGTGGAGGGCTAACCTCCACCAAGGCCGAGCTAAGCTAAACATATCTTTTTGACTTTTTTTTTTAAGCCTGTCTGTCATGCAAAGCCGTACTCTTCCATTTTGGTAGTTGGTGCGCCCTCTGGTGGAGCTTCTCGGGCACCGCACCATTTCGCCCCTAGTGCAAGTGGAGTGTAAACTGCGTAAAGTTCAAATAAATCCTCTCCCTCTCGATCAAAACCATGTTTTCTTCCTCGGGCTTTTGCGTTTGGCCAATGGAATATAATTACATTTAGCAAATAACTCTGCTTTACAGTAGCACACGAATCCCCCAAATTCGCTATATTAGGATGTAATAAATATATGCTGATCAGTGATAACAAAGCCTTCCTTATTTGCATTTGCAAGCGCATTCATGAGCTGTGTTACTGGTCGTCTGACAAATGCGAGCCTTTATCTCTCTCATTATGTTCAGTCTATTGCTTGGCTAGCAGCTAGCTTATCTGTTTACCTGTCTGCATTAGAGGGATGGCGAAAAGCATTATTTGCAAACAGCAAATAATACTGATAAGAGCACTCAGAGCAAACTGCAAAGTCGTGTCATTCCCAAAACTGTGAGGTGAGGTACTTTTTTTGAACTTCTTTTCCTGTAAGTTCTTTCTTGCTCTCCCCCATTTAGCCTCCGATTCTGTTCGGATTGACAGATCCAAATCGCATACTGTCTTTGTCATTGTTGCAAACTAAGCAAGCAAGCCCCCTCCGATACGTCCCATGTGTATTGTAACATCCTGCAGCCATTCAATTTGTTCCTTAAATTAAAGCAGTGTGTTTCAGAGCTGCCAACTTGACCCTTGATGTCCACACTCAAAAAGAGCAAAGACGCGCTATCTTATTCTATTCGTTTCGACTGTAGACTCTCCTGTCAGGGGAGGTGGAAAAGGAAACCGCGATGGACAAAGAATAAATATGTCATCACAACGAAGCAGGGCAAAATTATTCAGCTAATATTGGCATTGGATTTGCACACACACCCACTGATATAAATGCCATTTATTTGCCCAATCACAAAGAACAAAAATGTTGTCCGAGTTAATGGATTCTATTATATGAACTGACAGAGCTTAGTTTGAGGCCACCAACTCATGTTAAGGTGAAATGACAAGTTCACAACACTTTCCTGTTCCGTAGTTCTTTTTGCCAGCAGCCCTGATCATCGTTTGTGTTTTCTTTCATCTCGACAGTAGTTCCTATAATAGCCTTTTGGGTTTTTTTTTTACTAGTTTGAGGCTGACGGAAGTGCGGCTGTGTCCTGATCCTGGATGTTTGCTTTTCATTTTCTTGAATCAACATCACGCTGATGAACCAATCAGGTGTTTCCCCGTCCGCCCGCCAATTCAATTTTATCTGCAATCCCAAATAGAATACAAGCACTTCAAACTGTGCACAGTAAAATCTTGAATGTTGAACACAAATTGGTTCCAGGGTGCTTTTTGACCCTTTCTTTGGAAAAGATTGTCTGTTCCAGGGTAAAACCGTCAGAAAACCTTAAACTGGCAATTTTTCCGTCCTGGGGATGAACATTTCACAAAATATTTTGATCAACAATGCGGAAAATGGACATCAAATCAAAGCATTATTTTTTACATTTAATGGGATGGGTGAGAAACATAATGAATGAATTCTTAATAATCACCTAATTTGTTGAAATTCTTAACACAATTGCAAAAATAGGTTTACACTTGTCAATATTATAAATAAATATACTTTAAATAATAAATAAATAAATAAACTTTCTTGATTTTAATGACATGAGCTTAATATGGAGAACATATCTGTCTTTTTGCCTCACTTGTAACAAATTAAAATGAAATTAACCATTGTTCCATTTTTTTTAAAATAGCATTGTTAATATTAGGGTTGATGAGAGGTGTAAATATGTTCCAGCCTCCTGAAAAACATCAGCAGTAATGTTCGTCATGTATTCTCTAAAAGAAAAAAATTGTGCTGTATAATATTGTACTTGCTCATATAAAACCCAAGAAATGAAACTGTTGGTCACCTGGGGCCAGTATGATCCAGACATCAGATATATTGTACATGGAGTCGATGTCCACTTCTCACAAAGCCACTGTATAATATTAGTCTTTCTTTACAGATAATAAAAAAATATATATATGCCCCTGAGTGCTGGCATTTTGTTTGTTTGTTTGTAGAACCCACTATTTGTGTTCAAATAGCCGTTGCTTGAGGTTTACAACACTGCAACACCAATGGTAATCGTTAGTCTATATATGATGTTCCCATAATTATGTTAGCATGAAGCTAGCAGACTGAAAGACTAAATTATGTGGCTGTTTTAAATGTCATGTGTTGTTCTCGGTGATTTGACAGTAAACTTCAACTTTGCCAATAAACTATTAATAGATATTTGAGGATATTTTTTTCCTAAAAATATTTGAATTCCGAATTGTATGATGTTCCCATCATGTGTTAGCATGAAGCTAGCACATTTAAAGGCTAAATTATGTGGCTGTTTTAAATACTGTACACAATTTGTTGTTCTCAGTAATTTAAGTTTAGTTTGACAGTAAATGTCAACTTTGCCAATGAACTATTAATGGATATTTGAGGATATTTTTTTCCTAAAAATATTTGAATTCCAAATTGTATGACTTCCGGGACTTTAGAGGGTTCCAATCCGGTCCCACACCGCTACTGGAATGAGTAGCGGAAAGTGTTGGAATGTCACAACGGTATAAGAATCAAATCCCATTAAAGAAGGTAGCCCTCGGCTAGCTGGCTCCCTTCTTATTTCCATCCAACGCATGCTACACAACAATCTCATTAAACTAGCCATCTGGGCTGCGGGCTATGTTTTATAGCATTCTGCGCTAAATCCAGAGTTTACACAGCGTGTTTACCGTGCATCACGATAATTACTTTTCACGATAACGTATCTGGCCTTCAAAAGCTTGGTTAGCTTGCTGTGTGATTCGGTGCTATTGTCTGGCTGTTGACTGTAACCTTTTTACCACCTTCGCTGCCATTGTTTCATCCGTACACATACTGTGAAAAGATTGTTTGTGTTTTTTTTTTTTCTCAACCTTGGGACGACTGGGAGTATGACGGCACAATTCCTACTTTGTGTTGTGTTCTCTTCCTCTCCATCCTCTTGTGTCCTCCCCGGCTCTGTGTGCTCTTGTGCCTTCTCGAATCTGGCATCTTTGGATCCCCCGGTGTTGTCGCAGGCTCATGTTCAGGCCATATTGTTGTGGGTTGTTTTTTTTTTTTTTTGTTACGGCATAAAAATATCCACGGAATGAGCAGGTTAATGCTCACATTTTTGCATCTGAATTTGTAGACTGGGGTATTGTCTTGTTTAGTGGAGCCTGACAAGGATGTTTTTAATGCAGTCTATTTTTTTTTCATATATATTTGAGCATAAGGGGGAAATGCACTTTAATCACCCGCAGTGTTTTTTTTTTCTTTTCTTGTCTTTCTTTTCTTTTGATTGGCAGCCCGGGGTGGGTGCAGTATTACCATAGTTATCTCACTCCACCACATGGCCGACAGCACTCACAGCCGCCAAAGCTGTCTCCCGTGCCAAGCTGTCCCCCATGCCTCTCAACCTATAGGCTTCACTTAACCTCGTAGTAGTTCTCAAAAAGTCACACAGTTCAAGAAGAAGGTGGTCTTCGGTAAATAAAAGAGACCCAGTATACTCATCGTGGAACACCCGCAGTCTGTTTCTGTGGGGTAGACTTTTACGTCATTCTAATTTCAAAGCGAATGTTTTCCTTAACATTACAGAAAGCATTACATTTGTGCGCCAGCTGTCAGCGGTATGTTGCTTTATTCATAATTACAGAGACGTTGGGAACTAAAACGAGTAAAACCATGGAGAAAGTGGCGTTTTGTTTGGCATATAGAGGCAACATGTCTCTCAGTTGAGAGCTCCTGGGTTCTAATCTTGAATTTCCGGCCGTCCTGTTTGCATACCCATCCAGTGCTTGCGTTTGCTTGTATGCTCCCTTTGATTTTCTGGTCTTAATTTGAGGTTTGTACCACAGCTCTCGTCAACTGGGATAGGCTCACCCGTGATGTGGACAGGCGGTAAAGAAAATGGATTTAGCTTGATGCTCTGGTCATTTTTATTGGTCAGCGGCAGCCATTATGCTGTCAATGTAATTTGTCATTTGGATTGGACCACCGGTATCCTTTTGCAGAAATATCACGAAACACCAAAATAAAAGCAAAACGCCCTTGAGGCTTGAGGAGGTTTTTTTTTCCCCCGAAATTTTGTTTGAACTTCAAGTTGTACCAATTGCCATGCTTTTGTTCGTGTCGCCTTCAGACTCTCACGGAATGGACCTGTTTGCGGTCGCCGTCCACGAGTTTGGTCACGCCATCGGCCTTGTCCACACCTCAGCCATGGAGTCCATCATGAGACCGTACTACCAGGGTCCTGTCGGAGACCCTCTGAAGTACAACTTACCCTATGAAGACAAGGTCCGCGTCTGGCAGCTCTATGGTATGACCGCTTTATGTGAAAAAGCCGAAATGTGACAAGCCACTGATGAATGAAAACGTGGATGAAGTAAACTGACAGTCTTTTGGGCATTTGACTATATCACACCCTTTGTTGATAGTTCCTCAAGGTGTCTCCAAACATTGTCCAATTAGTGTTGGTGACTGCCAGACTCAATTACTCCACCTTTTCGTGGCCTGTGTTCTTCTCAGGTGTCAGAGACTCGGTGTCCCACACCACTCAACCCGGCAATCCCTCCCAGACAGCAGAACCTCCAGTTCTGCTGGACCTCCCAGAAAACAGATCATCTGTCTTGTAAGTAGACAATGCGCCTGACTTGAATGTAATTCTGACGATTGACCTCCTCATGAAAGGACCTCGACCTTTGCATCAATAATCCTCTTTTTATTACCCCTTAACCTTTCTGGCGTTGTGAAAACCACACAAATGTACGCACTCCTGCTCCATTTTCTTTCAAGCACCCTCAGACCTTACGCTCTTGCCAGCGGCCTTTGTGAAAGATGTCAGGGGGGAAAGGCCGATGGGGGAATGCCAACTGTGTGCAAGTATAATGCTTGACGAACAGCAACTGCCACCATGTAATGGGACCTTCGCCTGACATCCGAGCATGCTGTGGAGTAAACAAAGGTTTTATATGGCCAATTTTCGACCCTGGATTACATGCATTCTATTTCCTTTATGTCAAATCCAAACCAGTGGCAGGTCGCTCAATAGCTGGCAAGGTATAAATATATAATCAGTGAATATGTGCAGGACATTGATTGATTTAAACCCGCTATATGGCCACTGTTAGTATCCTTGAGAAAACTAACGAGGCGAGGTAAAGAGCACCTACGCGTGCTACTGTAGGTCTGATTGATATCCACACGACTCTGTTTTAAGTACTGTATTTTCCGCACTATAAGGCGCTTCGGTGTATAAGGCGTCCATTATCATCTTAACAAATCCTTGAAAATTGTCATGCTGCTCTTGCATTAATGCTGTAAACAGCCCTTTTTGTTGTTGGAGTACCGTATTTTCTGCACTCTAAAAGGCTTCGGATTATAAGGTGCACCTTCAATGAATGGCCTATTTTAAAACTGTTTTCATATATAGGGCACACCACATTATAAGGCTCATAGAATAGAAGCTACAATAGTGTCTGAGGTTGCGTTATGCATCCAATATATGGAGCTACGCTAAAGGGAATGCAATACATGTAGCGCTTTCACAATCACTGCAGCTCTAACAAAGCGTTTCACAGAACATTTAAAATATGGCATCCAAGAAATCAGAATATTGATCCGTATATAAGGCACGTCAGATAATAAGGCACACGGTCGGCTGTTGAGAAAATTGGTGCAACTTATAATACGGAAAATACGGTAAGATGCAAACAATGCGGAGTCACGAGGAATCTATCAGACTTTTTCGTCTCTATATGAGCTTTTTCCTCCCCATGTCGCCTGAAGCCGGGAAAGCTGCCTCTTTCGTGACCAAGGTCTCAGTATTTGATCACTAGGCAGCAGTGTTGTGTCAATAGCATGCAAAAGGACATGTTTGTTTGTAATCGGAGAGCTGACTGGCTCCCACTCACAGTGGCAAGCCTGTGGGTCGAAAGCCGTCGTCATTGGCAGGCCGACCACGTCGCTACTTGAAATCACTTATTATCCCAGTGGAGAAATGCACTTTTGGGAGGGGGGCCGAGGTTCGAGCCTGTCAGCGTGAGAGCAGCTCGCTCAGTGCTTAGCCTATTGAATTGAAGCGCACTCATCCACTCACTAGGTGACTGCAATTATTTTATTTTGAATCAAATTGTGGCTTCTATTTATTCTGTGCCCCATCCCTGTTTTTTTTTTTTTTGTTTTTGTTTTTTTTTTTGACGTTTCCTTCTTCCATTGTCCATCTCACACAGGCTGGTGCGAGATTCCCCAGACAGATGCGCTGGTCACTTTGATGCCGTTGCCCAAATTCGAGGGGAGGCCTTCTTTTTCAAAGGTACTTAAACCTCAGGAGGAGCGAGCTTGTGTATACAAGACAGGCAGATCGATGAAGGATTGCAGATGAATGTGAGAGAAAGACAAAAATGAGGTGAAAGGAGATGAATTGAAAGGAAGAGACATGGTTGTGGGCACAGAGTGGGCGATCCGGCGATCAATAGAAAGCCAAGTGATGTGTTGCTCCCAGCACGCTTCTCACTCACCATCACTGAATTGAACGCTGTAAACAAAACGCTCCGCCAGGCCCAAGGCTGCCTCGCTTTAGACGTATTATCTGTTTAATGCCCAATGTGTCTTTTCTTGCTCATTAGCTCGTGTGACTAATCCATCTGCACAATAGCTCTCCAAAAAGTGTTTAATAAGGTCATCCTGCATTTATTAACTGAAGTTTACCCGGATGCTAATATGCAACAGCGCTGATGCTGAGTACAAATTGGGAGAGGAATTGTAGCGTAAGTCGCTATGTCAAGTCTGTGGAATGTATTAAGGATTCACTTCCTATATTAAGGCAATGTGAAGCCTATTCTATAAATTCATGTGAACAATTCTTTTTAATGGATATGAACTAGGGCCTGACGGATTAATCGGCCAACCGACTTAATCCGATTTATTAATTAGCTAATAATCATCTTATATTTTTGGCTGAATTTTGCCAGTCTTTTTTTTTTTTGGACAAATGAACACATTTATAAAATAAGACGAAGTTGTCTTATTTTGTCTCATCCAAACATCTCCCTTACCCCCAAAAAATAAATAAATACATTCTCTCAGTCGTTAGTTTTAACAAATACGAAACTTTTGACTGAGGTAAAACAGTCAAGCATTGTGCCTTTAATTCATATCTTTATTGTAAGCATGAAGGGATCAAAAAAAGAGAGGTTATTTCATTCATGATACGGAATTTTCATGAATCGGACGATGAATAGGTTATGAATTTGATCCTGTTTGTGCGTAGCTGCCTGTTATTAAGACCATGATGTAAATATATATTATTTAATTGGTCATTCAGATCAGCGGCATTGATACTCAAATGCTCACGCGTAGGAACTGCGCCTGCTTAGTCATTGGACAGTCTGTGTTGATATCTTTTTTTGATTGACACAAACCCTGTTCCCACACAGTAATAATAATACCATCTAGACGTTTACAATGGCCGCGTCGTCACATTATGACATTCGAAGCAAACGCTGATGAGTTCTGTCGCTTTCTGCCGCAGGAAAATATTTCTGGCGCCTAACACGAGAAAAGAACCTGGTGTCTCTGCGTCCGGCTCAGATCCATCGGTTCTGGAGAGGCCTTCCGCCCAACGTCGACAGCGTGGACGCCGTTTACGAGAGGCCCGCCGATCACAAAATCGTTTTCCTTAAAGGTGCGGTGGTGAAATATTGGAGTGCGCCCTGGACTTGTCACCAAGTCACACTCGCATTAATTAACACCCGTGGACATGCTAACCATCGATGCCCTTTTTGTTTGTTTTTATGCTGTGTCATAAACTAACCGAACTTCATCCATCCTTTCAAGGGCTTAAGTACTGGGTATTTAAAGACAATATTGTGGAGGAGGGTTACCCGCGTCCGATCAGCGACTTCGGCCTGCCTTTGGAGAGCGTGGACGCGGCCTTTGTGTGGCTCCACAACGAAAAGACTTACTTCTTCAAGGACAGCCGCTACTGGCGCTACGACGACCACCTGAGACGTATGGATCTGGGCTACCCGAAGGACAGCACGCTGTGGAAGGGGCTCCCGCCGCATCTGGATGATGCCATGAGGTGGTCAGACGGTGAGTCGTAAAGAGGGACTCCGATTCGCACATAACTCACTCTAACAGCCGCCTCAATCGGCAGCTGGGTGCCTCTCTCAGATTGTAAAGTTTTGGAAATGACATCTCAAGAGAACAGGCGAGTACTTCACCCTGCCCTCGTCAATGCTTGTGTTCTAACACCTGTGCGGCGCTGTCCATCGAATACAGATGATCGCAAAGCCACTTCTCTCGGTCGAAGAGGAGATCTTGTATCTGCGATCCCTTGCTATTGCCAAAGCTCATTTGATTGCAAATTTCGAGATCTGAATTTGCTTAGTGAGAACTGAAAGGGAAATGACATCGAGTTCTATTTTCAGTGAGGATCGAAAACGGTTCCAGAGAAACTGATGTACATGTCATCATTTTACATTCAGTGTCCAAGTTTATTGGACTTCAGCGTCAAACCAATACAATTCAAATTCAAATTGTAGAATTCAGATTCAGTTTTTCAATGCAACGATTAAAATGAAAGAATACTAATAAAATTTATGTGATGTAAATTCAGTTTTTCCAATGCAGTCATTCAAATAGAAATATAAATGATTCAATATTCCAGCCCATACATACGGACTTTCAAAGAAGTTGGGTCGCGCCCTGTGATCTTTTCGAGTTTGATTCTGAGCGATTCGGGTTTGTATTGATTTGCGCTTCATTTCTTTTGTCCATCAGGTTCATGTAGCATCAGTGGCGAATACAACGCTTCCAAATGTCCAGACGTATAGCATTTAGCGAGCCAACAACCTTTGCATTCTGTTAATGTGATTGATTCGTCTAACAAGATGAACCTTTTGAGAAGGCGCTTGCGGCACCAAAACAACTAATTAACAGGAGGTGCTCTCGGGCTCTTCGGCTTACTTTGGAATGGCGCTGTACTGCATCTGAAGTGCAGCTCAGGTGTTCGTCGGTGCATGTTGTGTCGGAATGTTTGCCAGCTCCAGTTTGCTGATGTTTTTGTCAAGGGGAGCGGACCAGAAGAAAAGGAAAAGGGATTAGACGCCTGCGGTGTAAATGGGGGCCTGGGGGCGTATGTTGCCGACAGTTTATCATGGCTTGGGTCACTGTCGTATTATGATAAGATAAGAAAACCTTTATTTGTCTCACAATGAAGAAATTCCCAATTTACAGCACCAGAATTATGAGAGAGAGAAAGTAGAAGACAAAAAATATATACTTAAATATAAATTATAAATATAAGCATATTAAAAATGGTTAAGTACAGCGTACTTCGACTTTTTCACAGTGACATGTATGGAATCATGCATTTGTACAAAACATTTCTGGTACGTGTATGATGGACTACAGATGGAAATGAGCTCTTTGCGCTCCACTCCGCATTTAACTTCAGGTCATTTACCTGCCACGTAACCTTCCAAAATGCTACTTAAAGCATTGCTTGTTCAGCTCATAAAGATTTGAGCATACTTGCAGTTTGACCCTGAAAATGAAGGAATTCACTTGATATTCATGACTACAAGGAAAATGCATCGTGATCCAAATCGCTGAATGTCTTGTCATGCTCAGCCTTCCAAGGTGTGGTATTAAAAATCAAGATAGTTGACCCCTGGAAACACAATGTGACCTTTGACATGCCAGGATTTCCACAGACATTTCTATAATGAAAGAAAGCACTTACTGATTGAAGGCATGTGTTTTTCATTTTTTAAAAATCGCACGCACACCTGCAAATGTAAAAGAAAAAAAAAGGAGGGGGCGCTACAAAGGTTAATTATGCGCTTTTGGCTGCGAAGTGGGAGAGCATTTAATTACCGGTATTCTGCCAGTCAGTATCTACCACTGGCATAGATAGATGAACACAGATTATTTGGAGCAAAGATGTCATTTTCGAACCACTTCTGTGAAATCGGATACTTTCCAACAGCACTCTTGGTGATCTTTAATGCCACACTGGTTGGGACTCACCGACTTAGAGTTTATCAACATAAGCGCACATTTATTTATACTGCTAAAGGGAATTTGAGGCCAATGAAGGTGTTAATCTGCCTTCAGGTTGATACATGGGCACGGGCTGAAGCGATAAATAATGCAGCGAAGAGGCACTAATATGGAGGTAAAGGGAGCATCGTCGTGACAGCGCTCACGTTAATTACAGTACAGTGGTGCCTCGAACAATTTGTTGAATGACTTCCGTGATAAGGCTCTTAACTCAGAGCACTCGTAATGAAATGAATGGATGTGCCATGTATCTGGTGGCCAGCAGAGGGCAGTAGGATACGGGCATGCAGATAAGCACGAACGAGACTCTCATAACTGCTCAGTAAGCTGTAGAAATTGTTGTTTTTTGCTGAGGATGTAATATACAATATATGCCTGTGCGTACTTTTATAGTCAGAATTTAGAATGACACAGCATCAATGCTATTTGTGAGCCCGTCTATTGTGTTTTGCTTTGCGGGTTAGCATGAAGCTAGCACAATTTCCTAGAAACTACCGTATTGGTCCGAATTTAAGACGTTGTTTTTTTGCATTGAAATAAGACTGAAAAAATGGGGGCCGTCTTATATTCAGGGTCTAGACCAGGGGTGTCAAACTCATTTCACCACATACGGCCTCGGAAGATGTCAAGTGGGCCGGACCATTAAAATGATACCATACTTTGCTATAAATAACCAAAACAATGTCTTTCCTTTGTTTTGGTATAAAGAAGCACAAGAACATTAGGAAAATGTTGAAATTTAATGAACATATCTTTTACAAAATATTTCATGAAGCACCTTACATTTCCTTCGACAAATGTGCAATTTACTTTTATCATTCACATATATGCATTGCAAATGATCCCACTGATTGTACAAACATTAACAAGTAATTGGTATTGAAAAATATAGTAATGCACTGTGATGGGAAGGTAACATTTGACCGAGGTTAGCGGTGCAGCGACCAACTATTGCTGTTCCATACATAGCAGTCCTTGCAACAGTCCACCTTTTCTTTGTAAATGTTATTTAAGCTAAATCAGTCCTTAAGTTTGTTCCAAACTGTATATACCGGTCACCACTTCCTACTTTCGTCCGTGCTGCCTGCTTTCAAACTGGCTACGTGTGGAGGACACATCACAGAATGTTCCCCGGCCTCCCATTTTCTGGCAACGACTGCATAGATGGAGTCAAGCGGCCCATATAAACCCAATGAATTGTGACAATTTATCGATTTGTTGCACTCAGTGTACAAATAAACAACCGGGCCAAGGTCGTATCTTTATCCATGTAGAAATTGTAATCCTGTGAAATAATCCCCATTTTAATTAATACATGAGTAATCTGATTACTTCTTTTTTTTTTTTAAACTGTAATTGCATTCAATTTGTGTAACGCCGGTACATATATTCCGTACATATATACCATTCTTAGAGCTAATAACAATCATTCACTATGAAACAAGATGACATATGAATGTGCTTTTAATATTGAGCAAAACAGATAGTGTGTGTATTTGTGTCTGGGTGGGTGGACATGGGTGTGCAAATCTATGAATCTAATTCAGGGGTGTCAAACTCATTTCACATGGTGGGCCACATACGGCCTCGGTAGATGTCAAGTGGGCCGGACCATTAAAATGATACCATACTTTGCTATAAATAACCAAAACAATGTCTTTCCTTTGTTTTGGTATAAAGAAGCACAAGAACATTAGGAAAATGTTGAAATTTAATGAACATATCTTTTACAAAATATTTCATGAAGCACCTTACATTTCCTTCGACAAATGTGCAATTTACTTTTATCATTCACATATATGCATTGCAAATGATCCCACTGATTGTACAAACATTAACAAGTAATTGGTATTGAAAAATATAGTAATGCACTTTAAGATTAAACGAGATTCATAAAGAAAGGAAGTTTTAAACCATTTACACGTGCATATAAAATCTAAATGTAATCTTACAAACTAAGGAGAGTGCTATTAAATGTGTAAATGTGAGAGTGCTATTGATAGCGTCTGCTGTCATGGGTCTGTCACAGTGACGGACTGAGGCTGCTGTTGTCTTCTTCTCTGATCAAAACAGTGTCCCCTTGCGGATACTCAATGAATTGCACCTTATTAAAAATATTAATTCTGTCTTTAATGCATTTTTTTCACTTTTAAATTATCCTACGGGCCTAATTGAACCTCCTTGCGGGCCGGTTCCGGCCCGCGGGCCGTATGTTTGACACCCCTGCTTTACATAATCATCTCGCCGGCCGGATTAAACTCCTTTGCGGGCCGGATCCGGCCCGCGGGCCGTATGTTTGACACCACTGGTCTAGACATTATACCCATTCACGACGCTAGATGGCGCCAGATATCATTGAAGTGAATGCTGAACTTGACTCCCCAGGCCAAAGCGAACCCCTGTCACGAAGAATAAAAATAAAAATAGCGGTAGTACGAAGAAGAAAAGTAAAAAATAGCGGTAAGAAAGAAAACAGAAGAAAATAATAGAAGAAAGATAACAGAAAATGGAGGAACATAGCGACAATCTGGAGAAAAGTGGGTCGAAGATCGGCCAGGTTAACCGGCAGCTGAGAAGTTATGGTGTCCACTTTGAGATGCTTTTTCTCTCAAATATATTGTTATAATCATTTGTTTCAGATGTACTGTAATTATTTTCTGTATAAAAATTTATTTGGTGTTCAAAAAGTATTTTTTCAAACTTGAGTCTTGAAAAAGAGGGGGTCGTCATATAATCAGGGCCGTCTTATATTCGGGCCAATACGGTAAGTCTTTTTTGGCTTTCTGTGTTGCTGTGTTGGTTATTCTGATGGTTACTTGGCCAGTCAAGTATTTTGGAGGTGGCAATTGCTGGAAAAAGTTTGAGAACCACTGCTTTGCAGTCATGTATGAGTTACAGCACTTGCACTTTTGTGTTTTGTATGCCCGAAGGCTGTTTTGAAGGAATTTCAACTGAATCCGGCATTCTATATCCCCGCGCAGGTTCGTCTTACTTCTTCAAAGGGAAGGAGTACTGGCGCGTGCCGAACAGCGACATGGAGGTGGAGGCGGACTACCCACGCCTCATCGCCAAGGACTGGCTGCTGTGCACAGACATGCAGTCGGACTCACCGGGCGCAGAGGCCAAGAGCACCGAGAGCCGGGTCAACGTACACCCTCGCCCGGATCACGCCGAGAACGGCTACGAGGTCTGCTCCTGTACGTCGGACGGCGCCTCGCCTTTAGGGGCCCGGCCCTCCCCGTTACCCTTGTGGCTGCTGCCGCCTCTTTGGACGCTCTCATTGGCCCGCTGCCCTCTACTGCTATGATGCCAAAACACAGGAAGTACTTCTGACTGACTGGAAGACATCCAGCTTCCGTTCAAACACGGAACATTCTCTTTATATGAGTACTCATTGCTGTACTTTTTGCTCTTGTTTCTCTCTTATTTATTTCTCAAGCCATGTGATGTTTCTCAAAGCCTTGCAGTATATATTGTACATACTATACAGTTACCATCCTGGTGGACTGTAATCCATTCCTCATACAGGCAAAGGTAGTTAATGCTTTAAAAAAATGAGACTTTATGAAGTCTTGGAGCAGCGACGTAAAGAACTTAATTACATGAAACAAATTCAGAGCGAGGAGGGACATTTAGAATGCAGACACGGCAGCTGGCAGTTTGACCTTTTTCAAAAGACGCAATGTGCGATTGCTAAATCCAATTAATAAAAAGGCAACAGGGCTCAAGACAGGAAATTATATTGGACTTTGGGCTGCCACACCGGTTTCACTTAAGATCACTACGAAAAATGTTATTCTCCTCGAGGTACAACCACTCTGCAACGCCTCCACAAATTCAAATGTTATAATCACGTTCCTAATATATTGATAGTGGACAAAGTGTTAGGACCGTAACATATCCATGTTTCAATTCCATGTTCAACGGGGACCACCTGTGCCTATGCGATTTCCGTTGATTCTAAAATATGATATCAACAATTATTTTAATAACCGATTAATCAATGACTCAGACAAGAAAATCTTCTTTCCAATCCATTTTTTATTCAAAAACACAACATGATTTCAAATTGACTGTGAAGAAATTGCACAAACAAATGCCTTTTGATTCAGTTACTGATTTGATCCGTAGCAGTACCGTTTTATTGTTGACTCAACACAAAGAATCGGTCTTTTTTCATGGAGGACTACAGAAAACAGATGGAATTTACTGTCGAGAAGCTGAAATTTCAAGCATTCATTTTAAAAATGGATCCAAAGCCCGCATCCATCATTTCCCAAAATGATCAGTTAATTTCATGATCGATTAGTTTAATTTTAGATAAGAGTAATAATGTATAGTAGTGAACGTCTATGAGAAGAAAAACAAAAGGATAATGCATATAATTCACTTCTGTGATCTTAGTTGTTGCTGTCGCACCTCCGTTGTTATGGGAGACATTAACGTTTTTCATTAAAGCTTCCCCCATGCCATAAAAGGACATTGCCAGCCCTCAGTCTCGCATGTATGGACAATAAAGGTCTTCCTGTTGCTCATACAAGTACATGAAAAGGCCTCCCTGCCATATAAGGAAATCAAAAGTTCTCAGTTGCCCTTTCAAGGAAATGAAAAAAAGTTAGGATGCCCATATAGGACTTAAGAGGCTCTAAGTTTCCCAATAAATACATTTTAAAGCCGCCATGTGCCTATATAAGGACGTGAAAAGTCCTTTCGTTTGCCCACATTAGCTGGTGGAGGGGAAATAAATAAATAAAAATCATGATCATGGTGAGTGATTAGGTTTTGGCAGAAGACATTTATCCCCACGTGACAGGAGACGCTTTCAGAAAGCATTAACCCGGGCAACGTGGTGGCATGCAAGAATATTTTCGCTGACTGACACCCTGACATGTATCTGACAGGTGAATGCAATCCTGCCATGTTTCGGTGAGATGGTTAGCTTTACAGGTGTCCGCGGGTACACTCATGCTGGAGCCAAACAAATGACTTCTTTTTTTCATTCCGACAGATCCAGTCTGAGACTTTGGTGTGTCATTGTTCCTCTCGCTTGTTAACGCTGAGAACTTTTTGTTCAATGGATCATTTTCAGCCGCAGCGGAGACACAAAAAAAGCCGAAGAGCTTGGTTCAATGCTTTCTGTTTACAAAGCTTTCTTTCCCTCCACCACTGAACTCTTTTTCAGGCGACAAGCTTGCAACTGGATTTTTTTTTTTTTCCACCCCCATTTCGGTCAAACGAGCTGCGATTTGAAAGCAAGAAACAAGTATATTTCAATCGTTCCTAGTGGAGTGTATATTTCAAGGTGTGTTTTATAATGTCAGATATTTTTGTAAGAAAATAAATCTCACACTGTTTGGAGCATTATTGTTGAAACTTTTTATGTTTTTGAGCAGTATTTTCAAAATGCCAACAAGCTGAGCCGTAAACCGTGAGTTTTGAATTTGTGATTGTAGACCACAAAGAAAAATTACTGTTAACAACGCCCCACGCCTCAGGATAATCTTTTAGCCTTCAGTACAGCAGTCAAAACAACTTGCAAACTGACAACACATTCTCATGAATTTCATTAAATTGG